GCGTGTCCAGACAGACCATCTCAAACCTATGTACCCGACACAACAATACTGGGAGTGTTAATGACAGACCCAGGTCAGGTGGACCTAGAGTTACAGCCGCCGCCCAGGATCGCTACATCCGGTTGAGACATCTTCGTTCACGCACCACGACAGCAACATCCAGAACAACCCAAATCCTTGGACTGGGCCCAATCTCCGCCCAGTCGGCTATGGTAAGCCGGACTTTATGCCAGAAGACCAGTTCGACGTAACGTCTTGACACACGAGTGAGATGGCCACGGGCAAGATGGCGAAAATGTTGTTCTCAGCTGAGTCTCGGTTTCTTCCCAGACGTGCTGATGGACGTTCACGTTTATACAGACGTTGGAAAGAACTTTACGCCGACAACTGTGTACAGCAGGTCGATGGATTTGGTGGTTGAGGCGTCATGGTGTGGTAAGGTATCCATCGTAATAGGCGGACAGCTGTTGTGCACCTGGCAGGTGCACTGAATGGGGTTCGCTATAGAGACGAGATTATGAAACGTCACGTCGTTCATTTCATCAACGTTAACGGTGGATCTTTCCAGCATGAAAATGCTCGACGTCACGTTGCACGTGTTTCTAAGGACTTCTTCCAGCAAAATAACGTTTAGAGGCGTGTTCAGAACCGCGAGCGATGATTATGCTTTAATGGCATCTGCCCTGAACGGACGCGAGCGCTTGGTTTACATTGAACCATTCGTGACCAACTCGTGTTATTCCGGGACAAGCCGAATAGCTTCTTGTCTTCTTGTTGGAGGTTACAGAAAGGGGCAAGTGGTGACGAATGACATTAAACATGGTCACCATTTTGGTTCGCTTGGCGAGGCAGCTGTGAGGATGGTTAGCGTGCGCGCGCGGGCGCTCGAACGGGCACAGGAGTTCAGGATCGAGCGCTCGCTAGCGTTCGCGGGCACTCGCGGTTCTGAACACGCCTCAGGTGTTACCATGGCCTTTTCGATGACCCGATTCGTCCCCCATTGATCAATTATGGGATACCCTTGATCGACGCATGCGCCAGAGTAATCCGCCACCTCAAGAACTGCACGCAGCACGTCAGCAAGAGTATCAAAACATTCCTCAAGACAGCATTCGGCATCTCCTTTCTTCTATGGGCCGCCGCTGCCACCTTGTTATCGATGCTCATGGTGGTCACGCTAGATAGAGACATTTTACTCTGACTAAGTGGCTTTAATAGCCTTCTGTGGTTTTACCAAACTCTTTCTGGATAATCGTGTTTTGGAAATTTGTAAAGTGATGATTATACTGTAATTGATGTCATGTTTGAATCGGTTATATGCATTCAGTAAATAAATTCCAAATCAGCATCTCCAGTTTCTGTTTTTTTAAAGAGTATATCACCTATTCTCACGAAATGTGGACCATTTGTCATTTATATTAGATAAATGCAGTGATGACTGCCCGAACCATCCCAGGACTTCGCCGTATCCACCCCAACACAGTTTGACCACGTTTACGTCATCTCCGGATCAGACCACGACGTTGTGCCATACGACCTATCCTGACACAACGTCATCGACAAGCTCGCCGAATGTGATGCCGAAATCATGTCCGCAGACCCTTGTTTTGGTGGAGAAATGTTGTTTTTACAGATGAGTCCAGGTTTAACATTTCCCATAGTGTTTGACGTCAACGTGCCTATAGACGCGTGGGAGGACATTATGCACAGGCCTGTGTCTTGGAGAGGAATCGCTTTGGTGGTGGTTCCGTGATGATTTGGGGTGGAATAACAGCACGCCAAAGAACTCCTTTGTTATTGTTCAGGGCAACTTAACTGGTGTGGGCTACAGGGATCAGATTCTTCGACCTGTCGCAATTCCTTTTCTGCAACGTCATGGCCCTGGGTTAACATTCCAACAGGACAATGCCCGCCCTCATACGGCAAGGGTTGCTATGGATTTCTTGCAACACCACAACGTTGACTTACTGCCTTGGCCTGCAAATTCACCGGATCTCTCCCCGATAGAGCATGTTTGGGAAGAGATGGATCGACGTCTACGCCGTCTTCCTCATCCGCCAGATAACGTCCTTGACCTTGCAACAGAACTTGAGAGAATCTGGCGTGACATCCCACAAGCCTTCCTTGCACGTTTGATAGGCTCTATGCGTCGTCGATGCATTGCTGTTCTCAATGCCGATGGTGGACATACCCGTTATTGAGCTTGTGACATGGTCGTTTGACCCCTGTCCCGCTTGTGGACTCATGACGTCATTGTGATTGACTTTTCAATTGAAATTCTCCCGACTTGTTATGGTTTCATGATCCCTCCATTAAAGTTTATATGTACCTTTGACATGGTTATCGTAGTTATCAACTGGGATAATATTTTGACAATGCAGTTTCTTTATGTGGCTAGTATATATTCTCCTCAGCGATGTGTTTTGGTTCCATAAACAGACAACGAGGCTATGTCATGTGCCTGTGAGCAGCCCAGCTGGAACTCGGCGCTTTATTAATAGATAGATTATGATGAAAAATGCAGCAGAGAGGGTTCTGGTGATCCTGGCACAGTCAAGCTGGTAAGGCTCATAATCAGCTCAGATTCCTTGCCCCCTCTACATGCAGCCCAGACAGCGAATGGGACTTCTCCCAGGAAACGCTGCCTTGTCGAACCCACTAAGAACTTTCCGGAGAATATGTAGACTCCCCAACACTGCAACCTTCTGGTGGAGAACCCGGGCACTTTCCTGATCTGCGCCAAGAGATCAGGAGGTACCAAACCAATGGCACCGAGAACAATGGGGAGTCTGACGATAGTGTACTTGGGATGCAAGCGAGACATTTCAAAGGCCAGATCCACATATCTAGCATGCTTTTCCTGAATCTTGCCAATCACATTGGTGTCAAAAGGGACAGATAAATAAATTCATTTATCAAAAAGGACAAGATTGGGTTTGTTGGCTGGAAATCTTCTAAGGCTGTATATGGGCCTATTCCACAGATGTTTAAATGCATCGTTTTCCATGACGTCCTGGACATGTTCAGGGTCGTACCATGGATGGACCTCGGATTCAAAGCCACAGGCATGACGATAGTAGAAACAACGAGCCATGCCATCATGTCGTTTAAGGTTTGCTGTTTGTGCCAAAGAAGGGCATCCGCTGACAAGGTGTAAATTCATTACACAGTGGACATTTCATGTCAATATTTTCATTAAGAATCACATTTAGGGGGATTGCAAGTGGGAAATGACTATTTTGCCATTTTAGTTTTGGCTAAACTTGACCACAGTAGCCAGCTGCTGAAGGGTTGCATGGTCCCTTGCATGGTCATCAGCTTTCAGTTACTGGTGATCTAAAGCCCGTTTTTATATTGTATTGTTCTCTCTAGTGATACATTATTCATGATATCGTACTAGTTTTAAATTAAAGGCTGTGGTGCTCTAAGTAGTTTTACTGTCCTTCGATGACAGTTTCTTTTACGTTCTAAATTTATTGAATTTAACATTCATATGAATTTAATTGTTCTCGTCATGATATTGCTGAGATATTGCCGATGTGACACTAAATATTAACTCACTTACTCACTCTTTTCTGGCCCAAAGAAGTTTACATTGATGGTACCTCCATAGATAGGGGCGGGGAAGATGGACTCCACTAACTTTTTACTTTTGTAGGTGGTTGTCTGATTGTTCTGGGTAGCCATGTTTACAACAGCGGTGGAAGGGAGACTACTCTCATTTTGACGTGACCCGCCAAGTGTGAGAGAACGTTGAAAAGTGGATTGATGACTCAACATTTGACTCAAGTCCTTGTGGCGGTTCATGGACAACGAACTGTAATTGTTGATACTCTAGACGTTTCTGTGCCCTGATATTTGCATAATTTCAGTTGGGGGTATGTTACCATCAGCGAGTTTTTAACCTAGATACTTTCTAGCTGAGTGATTACTAAACCATTGATTTTCTAATCCCCCATTTTTGGCCATTTGTCTCATGATGGAGCCCAGCTTGTTAACTCCAACTGGTTGTCGCTTAAACCAAGGATGTATGGCGGACGCTTGTTTGGTGTTGGTGGCGAGATAGAACGGCGAGTCAGGGAGTGAATATCCAGCTGATAGGAGTTCGCTATTTCGTTTTCAACAGTGCAACCGGACAACGTTCATCACCAGTAGCCAAAGCTTTGGGACTTACGTTTCGAACACCATCTTTGCTGTCACGCTGACAAGTTTTGGACTGTCTTTCCTGATATTCAAGAGATTCAGTTCCATCCCAATCAGCCTTCAAGGAGACGTCATCCCACTTCATGACATATTTTGCGGCTTCACACTACCGATTCCGAAAAGGGTAGTATTGAACCTCCAAAATGAATTCAAAATAGCTTCAGGATTGCTCACTCCGGTTGTCAAAAGTTTGTCCACATCTTGATCAGACAGGGCTTCTGAACACTTTGGTAAATTATCTTTTGAGAACTCTTTGAGAACATTCGGTTTTGTTTTGACAGCATCAGCCACCTTAGAAAATGCAGCGTCACTGAACAGCGATGCACCGTAGTTCCTTGATTTCAGGTATCAGAGCTTGAAAACATCGACTTCAGAGATTAGGGCTCGTAGTTCGTGCGGTCAGTTTTAGTTACACCAATGACAAAAGAGCATAAAATGTCACAAAATTCATGTTTGGCGATGGTTTCAATTGGACGTAAATCCCCCTTGCTCTCCACGAACGGTCCTAGACGCTTCATGTCGCATTTTTGTTTTACTGTATTCACGTTTCTGGTGTCGTCGACATAAGTTTCAATGTTTGAATAGTCATAAGTGTATGGCTCTTCGAAAAAGTCATCATTCATCAAATCTCTCAGCACTTCAGAGGATAGATTAACCTGAGGAATTTATAGCTCTGACGTGGATGGCAACATTGGTTTACTTGGAGCCTTGGTTATTTTCATATATCTAAATCGAGGTACTTGCCTAATTACTAGTATCCCCTGCAACAACGAAGTTGAAGGGGATATAGAAACCAGTTCCGTCCGTACGTATGCGGACGTCCGTGCGTCCGACGCATATCTCCAAAGCTATTCGTGATAGCTTAACCAAACTTGGTATACATGTCAACCATGATCCCTAGATTTGCCTTTTGAGGGTTAAACCCAGATATGAATTTGTTTTTTGCTGTTTCCATGGAAACATGACTCAGGCTGTGACTATGAGGATGTCATCTTGTCCGGAGCAGATCTTCCAAACTATACATGCTAGCTTCATCATTATTGGTACATATGTCAAGCATGATCCATAGATGTGCCATTTAATGGTTACACCCTGCTGTGAATTTCATTTGTTATGGTTTCCGTGGAAATGTCACTTTGGGGATGTCATCTTGTGTTTCCATGGCATCAAGTTTTACTTCGACTGAATTTTGTGACTGTGGTCTTTTCCGAAGCAGAAGTTTAAAACCTTTCACTATTTCTTCATCAAACTTGGCACATGGATAGGTGTGGTGGTGTACTGGTGCCTTTTGGTAGTTTTGAAATTCTGAATAAAATAGTAACTATGACTCTCTTAAGGTAGCCAAATGCCTCGTCATCTAAATAGAGACGCGCATGAATGGATTAACGAGATTCCCACTGTCCCTATCTAATATCTAGCGAAACCACAGCCAATGATAGGAAGAGCCGACATCGAAGGATCAAAAAGCAACAAGTTTGGCTTCGACTGAAATTGGTGGTAGTGCTCCTTTCTGGAACAGAACTTAAAAACCTTTCAATACTCTCCTTCCACTTTGCCATATACACACCAAAACATTTGACATAATCATAACTAGTAGATATATTCATGGAGAGTATTTTGCCATTGTGGGGCATATTGATGACTTTTTCTTCTTGTTTCTCCTGAAACCAGTTTAACACTGTAGCGACTGTAGGTCCCTAAAGGCTGACTTATCGATACCACTCTTCCCCTATCCTTTCCGTCAATAGAAACAAAGTCATTTACATCGAGACCGTAATCCATGATGACAAATCAAGCAGGGTTCACTCTCACTTAGCCAGAGTCTTCCTAAAAAGGTCTTGTTAAGACAACAAAGCCATATGGCTAGGTGAGAGATGCGAGCCAGGTAATTAGCGTTAGCCACTGAAGCGTGAGCCTTTGTTCGAGGGCTATAGTGTAGATCTACAATGCGACACGATTGAAGATGCATGCAAGTGTGTGTATAATTTAAACAATATTTATTCTTGTACCACTAGTAGTGTACAGTGGGATTGACAGTGTTTCCCCTATAACAGTGTTTCACCAAACTAGTACACATTACAACAGTCCTTCAAAGATTAGATAATGCAGTGTCCATGTTGCTGCATCCCAGTCTAATACGACAATGTAAAATTTGGTTATTTCTCTTCCATAGTTCTGCACAATTTCGTGTCCACTAGGCTGTCCCACCGCCCAGTGTCACTAGAGAATTGGTCCATACAGCAATACATATGTGAATGGAATTTGTAAGAATAACAATTTAAATGTTACCTTGTCGTATACGTGTTGAGAGGTATTGGCACTGTTTATCACTGTTAAACAGTAGATGCTAACATACATAAACAGGCTTGACTTAAGAACTGGTTCTTAACAAGCAGCACAAAAACATGACTTTAGAACCGGTGGTTGACTTTGTGAATAGGCTAGGATTTAGAAGTGGTCACTAGCACTCAATGACTAGGCTGGTATTCAGAAGTGGATACTTGCACTCGATATATGTGGTGTCCATGTGTGTGTAATATTACAGCCAAAGAAGCATCATTTGTTAACATTTTCAGCCACCATTTCTCATAATTTTCTTAATACACTACATCTTTTGCACCAATCATATTTCATAATCTGGCTATGTGAGAGACCTGTTTTGACAGAATTTGGCTAAGTGAGAGGACACCTCAAGCAGACGATGCCGGATGTAACCAAAAGGGAGATAACTTTATCACGACTACTTTATAGATGAAAATACACAATTCAAAATATTCCATTGAAAAATAATACTAATTCCCAGGACAATGAAATTTAATTATAATTAACCAGAAACCTAATGTTTTGTTTTGTTGACATTTTTGGTGAAAACCTGTTTGAATGGAGATATAATGTAAATGTAAAATATCGAGGTGGCAACAGAAATGTCATTTGCACTCGATCAGCTCATTGCATTATCGTTGAATGCCCTAGTTTGGTTACACAACATTCGTTGGATACGAATTATCGAAAATCAACTCACATTTAACACAGTGCGAATGTTTATATGTCATGTTTTAGGAGCTGAAGTGTTTTTAAAATTGGCCTTTTTTTTCATCGATGATATCAATAGACTGCAGAAAATTGCAAGCCATAGGATACTATGTTTACCGAGGTGTTTACTGATGTGAAACCGTCCGATGCGAATCGAGGGTCCGATGCGTGATGTGGCGTCCTCGTGGGACGAACATGGTGGAGGAAGAGCAAGAGCGGTCATTTTGTTTGACTGCAGTCTTTTGCAGAATGCCCTGCATTGAGAAACAAGTTTATGAATCTCTTAAAGGATGGACACAGGGGACTGAATATTTTAAGGAAACCCCACTGCACGAGCCATAGTTGCCATCATATTGTTATATTCTTTCCCATGTGATAACAGGCACCCTTGAAGAGCAACCTCCTCGTGGTGGTGCTGGGTAACGCTAATAGCTCTTCACCCTTGTATCCCTGGTATTTGCACGATCGATATCCACTGCAGATAGACACTGTCCTTGTTGGCACTCGGTTGCGGGTGGGGAGCAAGGGTGCTGAACCCCTTAGATACATCATGAGTCAAGATTCTGGTTCCGCTAGAAATGACAAGAAAAGGCGTCTGGAGGCTGAGGATATTTCAGTTCCAACACAACAGGTAGACTGATAAGAATTAATAGTTGTCGAGGCTACAAATGGTGAACCCCTCAAATTAAATCCTTTTTTGATTCCCAAGACTATCCAATCTATATGTGGAGACGTCAAAAACAACAATCAATTAATCTGCTACAACACCACCAATGTCAGCGTTAAGGTCACAGAACATAAAACACTCAATTCGAGTAGAGGCATTGTTCAGGACAGAGCCCGTTGTTTGTCGGATATGTCAGTGGAGGAAATCGTTGACGAACTTAAAGATCAAAATGTCACGTCTGTGAAGAGCTTCAAGAAACCAAATGGTAGAACTGTTCCAAGCAACACATACCTGTTTACTTTTTCATTGAGCACAGTCCCTAAATTAATAAAAGCTGGTCATTTCAATATCGGAGTGGAGGTGTATATCCCCACTACACTCCGATGTTATACATGTCAGAAGTTTGGACATGACACAAAATCCTGCCGGAAGGACGCTGACTGCAGCAAAGATCCTAAAATGTGTAAACTGTGGCGGTGACCATGTTTCATCTTCAAAATCATGCCCTGAATGGCAGATCCAATTATAAATCCTGAAGTTGAAATACTTGAAATATGAAAGTAATATTTCTTTCTATTTTTAGGCAAAAAAACCCCCAAGTACATCAAATGCAGTCAAAGCCAGCTACGACAGTTAGGTATTCAGCTGCCGTCTCCAGAAAGACCAAATCAGTGTCGGTTTCATGCCAAACCGATTTGACTTGGACTAAATACAAATAACCTATCTCTGTGAAAACTACTTTTAATAGCCAGACCACTGTAACATCGGCCTCTCAGACTGTCATTCATTCAGAACAAACGATTGCTCAGACAACTTCTAATGCTGAGGAAAATGTTGAAATGGTGATATCTCAACGGAAACGCTTAAATCGGAAACAAAACATAAAAAATTCCCACAACTGTAGAGACGCCGGTAACAATAGAGGTTCACTTTGAACCCCTGGAGATGGATGTAACCCCACCTTCAGAAAACGAAAATAGGAGTTCTTCATGTTCTCGTGTGAGATCCCCAATAGAACCACCATGAGCCAAAATCCTACTCTAATATAATGGAATTGCAGAGGCATTAAGACCAATTTTAATTATCTACACTTATTGTCACAAGATTTAAAACCATCAGCCCTTAGTTTACAAGAGACATACCTGAAAAGTACAGAATAATTTGATTTTCGTCAGTACAATTCATTTCATTCGTTTTCACCTCCAGGTGAGAAAGCCACTGGTGGCGCTTCTATTTTGGTGAGGCAGTGTGTTATTTATAGCCATGTCCCTCTTAAAAGCAATCTTCAGGCTGTTGTTGTCCGCCTTTCTTTACAAATAACCTTCACGCTTCGTTCATTGTACATTTCTCCATCTTCGGCTCTTCAGCATTCCGATCTTCAGGATCTATTTGACCAGCTTCCCAAACCCTGTATTATCATGGGTGACAACTTATCAACGGACACAACTAACAATAAAGGGAATATCCTCCAAGACTTCATTTCTAATATTAATGTATTCATATTTAATGATGGATCAGCCAATTATTTACATCCTGGTTTTGGAACTTATTCTGCACTTGATCTGCCTCTCACAGATCCCAATATTTATAACGAATTTGAATGGTCAGTCCACGATGACCTGTATGGAAGTGACCATTTCCCTACAATACTTTCAGCTATAAACCCGAATGATGATCCACCTGCAACAAGGTGAAATTTTGATAAGGCCAACTGGCCATTATTTCAAACATTGTGTACTGACAACTTGAAACCTGACTTTTTTGACAATGCTGTAGATCCAATTCAGTTATTCCCTGATAAACTGAAGATTATTGCTGATGAAACTATACCTAAGTCCTCTGCAATTCCACATATTGGTAAACCATGAATGTAACAATGAATGTAAACAGGCCAGGAAGAGTAGGAAGAAGGCAGAAAAATATTTTCGCCGACATCCTCCAGTCCATAATTTAGATAAAGTTAAAATTTTAAATGCCAAGGCTCGACGCGCATTTAAACAGAATAAGCGTCAGTCTTGGCGAAATTATGTTTCCAAAATATATTCACGCACACCGATCTTTGAATTAGAAACGACATTCAATAAATCAAGTGCCTTCAGGCATACAGGATTTCATATGCGGAAGAAAAGTTAAATGGAAGTCGAAAATTAGACCCAAGAATTTGGCCTCCTTGACAACTTTGATGAGAGTGCCATTTAATGATAGTTCTGGGACTTTATGCGGTTTATTTTTTCTACGGAAGTGTAGACAATTAGTTTTGGATTTAGAAAATTTAAAGCCGTTTTCAAGACACCATTTATTTATTATATTTAAACATAACTGCAGTTGCCGTTCAATAGTATGCATACTTTTACCGCGGCAAGAAATATTAAAATCATCCACAAAAAGTGATCTATCGATTGAATCGTCTAAACTGTTTATCTTAATACTAAACAATGCGACAGGCAAAATACTGCCTTGTGGGACACCCCGATCCTGATTGTAATGATCAGACAGGGTTGAACCCACTCGGACTTGAAATAGCCTGTCGCTTACAATTTGTGATATAAAAGGAGGTAAACGACCCCTCAAACCAAAATCATGTAAAAAATTTAAAATGCCATGCTTCCAGGTGGTATCGTACGCTTTCTCGAGATCAAAGAATATCGATATTGCATGTTCTATATCTCCCTACTCTTCCGGAAGTTTAGTTGTACGCCGCACTCAGCAATATTGCAGCTATTTAGCGCCGGT